CTGATAAATTTTTCAGTTAATGAGTAAGCTGATGGCGAATTCTACGACAATAAATTATCCCTAAAATATCTCTATACCCTATCGCATCGTTAGGCGAATTTGAGTTTAACAACTTTAACAAAATATTACAATAATAATAAATATGAGTCGTTAAGAAAAACATTGAAATTGACAACTTTTTCCATTTCAATGAAACAGACGTTAAACACTTCTATTTTCTCTTCCTTCCTTCCTTCCTTCCTTCTTTTCTTTCTTTCTTTCTTTCTTTCCATGTTTCTTTCTTTCATTAATCAAATAATGTCTTTTGCCTTCTTTCCACGCGATCATTATTTTGGAGGTATTGGCGGGACGTAACTATCGTGCAAACTAACTAAAGAAGGCGCAAAGACAGTTATAATAAGATAATATTTCTTCACTTATAATTTTCAAAAAACATAAGATAATGTCTAAGTTAGCATCTCGAAATATGTGATATGGCTATCTCCGTACTGAAGCAAGAATTTTTATGGCATCTTCTGTTTACATCTTGATTTCAGTCATTCTTCGATATCCTTCTTTTCTTTCTTTCTTTCTTTCTTTCTTTCTTTTTTTCTTTCTTTCTTTCTGAATTTGTTCAGTTCTTTTAGGCAAATTATTTAATTTTTATTTCTTTGCATCTTGATTTCATTCATTTTTAATCTTCAATCTTTCTTTCTTTCTTTCTTTCTTTCTTTATATATATATAGGCATATGGCGGTTAATTTTAAAAATCACTAAATCACCGTGCCTCCATACATGTATACTAATAATAGAACTATAAGAAAGAAAGAAAGTTTCTTTCTTTACCAGTCTGATTAATTATTTCTTTCTTCATCAATTCGTTCAGTTCTTTCAAACTTTAAATTTCATCTTCTTCTTTAATATCCTTTTCCTTGCTAGCTTTTTTCATTCGTTTTTTTTCTTTTTCTTTTTACTTTTTATATTTTCCGAGTGGTCACTTTTGTAAAGATGTCTTTTCTCAATTTCTCCTTTTTTTCTACATTTTTTTTATTATTTTTTTTTTATTTTGCTTTTTACCTTCTCAGATTTTCTTTCTTCATTTCTTCTGCATTTAATTTATTTTCCTTCTCTTTGTTTCGAATTCACACTTTTTTATTTTTATAAAATTTTTTTCCTATTTTTTAGTTATCCGCTTTTTTCTTTTATAAAATATTAGCAGTAGAGCCCGGCGTTGCCCGGGGATGTAACAGTAAGAGATAGATCAAGTATCGACCATCATAAAGACTGAAAAATAAAATTGACAAAGATTATTGTTTAAGGTTGACGGACACGCATGTCTTAATTATTTTTTTTTTTTTACGAATTGGTCAAACCCAAACTCAAACAAAATCATTGTTTTCAATCGTTATGAGTCTACCGATTGAATAGAATTTTATTATAAACAATTGTCTTGTAAATGGAATTTTTAAAGCATTCTGAATGTAAGAATAAAGAAAAAATTGTGCAAGACAATAAGAAACACTACCTGCCAAAAAAAAAGGGGAAGTTTTGTTGAAATCGGTTGAAAAATGTAGGAAATCCGATCGCATATATAAACGAACACACACACAAACAACCTGGGTTTTATAAGTATAACTCGATATGAGTTGTCCCCCTTTCATTCTGGCGACAGAATCGTGTTTTCAAATTGATTTCGTGCAAAAACAATTGTGTTTTTCCAATTTTTGGCGCTGTCAGAACCACCGCAAGGTAATTTTACGCAGTCCTGTGAAGTTTTGTTGAAATCGGTTGAAAAATGTAGGAAATCCGATCCAATATATAAACGTACACACACACACACACACAACCTGGGTTTTATAATAAGTATGATTATTTGCTTTCCTGTTTTCCAATTTTTCTTTTTCTCTTTCATTTCTTGTCAATTTTCTCTCTTTCATTCGTTTTCATTTAACTCTCCCCCTCTCCCCCTCTCTCCCCTCTCTCTCTCCCTCTCTCTCTCCCTCCCTTTCCCCTCTTTCCCCCTTTTCTCCCCCTCTCTCCCCCACCCTCTCCCCTCTATCCCCCATCTCCCCCTCTCTTTCCCCTTTATCCCCTCTCTCCCCCACCCTCCCCCCACCCTCTCCCCCCCTCTCCCCCTCCCCTCTCCCCTCTATCTCCCCCCCCCTCTCCCCCCCTCTATATCCCCTCCTTTCCCCCTCTCCCCCCAACCTCTCTCTCCCCCTCCCCCTTTCTCCCCTTCTCTTTCCCCCTTTCTCCCCCTCTCCCCCACCTCCCCCCTTTCTCCCCCTCCCCCACCCTCTCCCCCTCTTTCCCCCCCTCCCTACCTCTCCCCTCTCTCCCCCACCCTCTCCCCTCTATCTCTCATTTATTCTATTCTTTTTCTCTCTCTCTCTTTTATTTCTCTTGTCCGTTTTTTCCTCTCTCTTTCTTTCACCTTTTTTTCACCCAATGTCATTTTCTTTTTCTTCATCGCATTCCTCTCTCTTTTTCATTCTTCCTTCTTCTTTCATTTTTTTTATTCACTCTCGTTCATGCAGTCTTTCATTTCTCTCTTTCTTTCTTCTTTCTCATTCTTTCATTCAATTTCTCTATTTTTATTCCTTTCTCTCTCTTCTTCTTATTTTTTTCTCTCTCTCTCTCTCCCTCTCAGTCTCTATCTCTCTCTATCAGTTACATAATTTCATCTTCTTACAATTTCATTCTCTCTCTTTTTTCTAGTTCACTGTTTTAATCTCTCTCTCTCCCTCCCTCTCTCTCTCTCTCTCACACACACACACACACACACACCTTCTTTTTTTCCTCTTTCTTTTTTCATTCTTTTTCTTCTCTTCTGTTTTGTTATTACTATAACCCCCTTCTCTCTCACCCTCTCTCTCGCACACACATACTTTTCTTCTCTCTCTCTCTCTGTCTGTCTTTCTTCTTTTTCATTCATTTTCATTGTCGTTAGCGTCGTAGATTTTGTTTTACCTTTTTTCTTTCATTCATTTCCACTTTCTAGTTTTCATTCCATCTTCATCTTTTTTTTCTACTTCAAGCCGTTTTCAGGAAAGTTATTTTCTTTGTCCTCCTCCAGGTTCGAACCAGCAACTTCATGCCTAAATCCTACTCATAAGATTTACCTCTGGCATTTCAAGAGTGCACGAACCGTGATCCTAGAAAAATTCCTACACGTGCACACAAAGAAATACAGACACACAGACGTTGACGTGTAAACAAAACATACACACAGAAACACAGCATGAAATGAAATCAACCACATCACCTACACATGCAAAAATCACCCACACATACAAAAATCACCCACATGTGCAAAAATCACCCACATATGCAAAAAGAAACAACAATTAAAACTCCCATCGACACAAAAAGATGCAACAGAAGTCGATTTAACTAAATATATGTCAATATTCATTGATATATACACACATATACACACAGAGATATACGCTTGTGCTTCGTTGAGTAAGTTGTATATTTCTGAATGTTGCTAGTGGTCAGGTAACTCACCTAGGTTCGATTACCAAATTGGATGACAGTTCAATTTGCAAACTGGGCTTGAATGGAAAGCCAAACGAAATTAAATATTCAGGTGACTTAATCTGCATTAATATCCCAATCTGACCCGGTTTATTTGAAATGTAGCCCCAAACCTTTACATGCCTCGAACTTTGAAGAATTTGGCAAATCTGGGCTTTTATATGTTAAATAATTTAGCAGCGAGATCGCTAGCTAGTTAGGTAGATAAATTATTAGATAGATAGATAGATAGATAGATAGATAGATAGATAGATAGATAGATAGATAGGAAGAGACTGAAATAGATAGATAGATAGATAGATAGATAGATAGATAGATAGGAATAGACTGAAATAGATAGATAGATAGATAGAATAGATAGATAGATAGATAGATAGATAGATAGATGGGAAGAGACTGAAATAGATAGATGAATGATAGATAGATAGATAGATAGATAGATAGGAAGAGACTGAAATAGATAGATAGATAGATAGATAGATAGATAGGAATAGACTGAAATAGATAGATAGATAGTAATAGACTGAGATAGATAGATAGATAGATAGATAGATAGATAGGATAGGAAGAGACTGAAATAGATAGATAGATAGATAGATAGATAGATAGATAGATAGATAGATAGATAGGAAGAGACTGAAATAGATAGATAGATAGATAGATAGATAGATAGATAGATAGATAGATAAAAACTAAAACTGCGAAAGTTAGTGAGGGAATATAATTTAAAAAGCGGATGTCTACTTTTTTCTAATTATGATCTCAAAATCATTATATATAGAAATAAATTACAATTAAAACACGAGAAAAATATACTCGGTGAAGAGAATAAGGTGCATCAGCTAATTAGGGTTCATGCCTTTCCCTCTGGGCATTATTTAGAGTTTGGGACTATCCCCAGCGGCTATTGCATCCCAAATGGCATTCATTCGACACATTAGCATGCTTCCTCCCAAAATACAGCGACACAGGGGAAGCGGGAGGGGGGGGATAGTACATTTCGCAAAGGAAATAGACACAGACACATGAAATATAAACACGAACACGCAGAGCCGTGAGCGTCACATAACTGATTGCACGTTTACATAAGAAGAACAGATCAAATATTGAAGAGAACAAAAAAGAAGGAAGAAAAAGGAAGAAAAAGGAAGAAGAAGAGATTCGAACTCAGGCAAAACAGTGTTTATATCGAGAAATGAGTTTACTATCAGTAGATGTTTAAATTTGGCAGACGAATTATGCTACTCTTGACAAAAAGAAGAATAAAGGCGAAAGTTTTTATTGTACTTGGTTGGCATTAAACACCATTACTACAGAAATATATATATATATATATATATATATATATATATATATATATATATATATATATATATATATATATATATATATATATATATATATAGTACAGGTAATCGGTCCGTTGATATATTATCCGTGTGGATCCTAGTAATATTAATTATTAAACCTGATCCATAGAGAGCTCGATGTTTTTATTTTAACAGAGCATATGTGTTTTTTACAGCAAAAAAAAACAAAAATAATAAAGGTAATTTTTTCCTGTAAAAAATATATATATATATATATATGTGTGTGTGTGTGTGTGTCGAGAGAGAGAGGCGGGAGAGAGATAAGTAGACAAACCAGGAAGTGAATGAGATAGATAGATAGATAGATAGATAGATAGATAGATAGATAGATAGATAGATAGATAGATAGATAGATAGATAGGAGTAGACTGAAATAGATAGATAGATAGATAGATAGATAGATAGATAGATAGATAGATAGGAGTAGACTGAAATAGATAGATAGATAGATAGATAGATAGATAGACTATGATAGATAGATAGATAGATAGATAGATAGATAGATAGATAGATAGATAGATAGATAGATAGATATGAAGAGACTGAAATAGGTATATAAATAGATATGAACAGTTTGCGAAGCTTTTTATTCGGCTCGGTTGACATCAAAGATTATTATTGTATTTTCTTCTGCTTTAATCTGCAGATTTCTTTACTTTCCTTTTATGAAAATTCTTCTTATGTCTTCCTTAATTTAAAAAATCTAAGAAGTGATGTTTCATACAAGCCTGTTTTGCAGCTCATCAGTGTTTCTAGACTGACGAGCTGCTTTAAGCCAGGAACAGAAACTCGACCAATTTGGCATCAGGCAGAGGCTCTACCCCTAAGCTATCGGCGGATGGCAGTGAAAGGGAATCTTTTAACGTATTGTATTCTATTATATACGTGATGTATATAAACGCCAACTCAGCAACCAGAGCGCTCAATTCATAACTGAAGACTCATGCGTTATAAACACACACACACAGAGAGAGAGAGAGAGAGAGAGAGGTGTGGCACAAGGTCGAAAGTATTAAGCATTCAGCGAAGACACAACTTACTACTCAGACCGAATTGATCTAGAGAGACAAATTTGCTAGGCATTACACACGGTCAAGGTGTCCGAATTACTGAATATATATATATATATATATATATATATATATATATAGAGAGAGAGAGAGAGAGAGAGAGAGAGAGAGAGATAGATAGATAGATAGATAGATAGATAGATAGATAGATAGATAGATAGATAAAAGTTACATATATAGATAAATATAAAAAGACTGAGATATATACTTATGAAGAGACTGAAATAGATAGATAGATAGATAGATAGATAGATAGATAGATAGATAGATAGATAGAAAGATATGAACAGAACAGACTGCGATAGATAGATAGATAGATAGATAGATAGATAGATATTAACAGACTAAGATAGATAGATATATAAATAGATATAAAAAAGACTGTGGTAGTAGCGATGAAGAGACTGAGATAGATAGATAGATAGATAGATAGATAGATAGATAGATAGATAGATAGATTAATGATGAGAGAGATCCCTTAATGAAACTATTATCTGCACTGAAAGCGGAATCGGTCCACCAGTTTCGAATGTGGCTCTTGGTTTTTATTTTACCCTATTAATCATTCGCTCAAGAAATAAATCCTGAAAAGTTCAAGTTACTCCACTCGATTCCCTTTATAAGCGGGAAGCATTTTTTTCTTAGGTTTTGTTTCACAGACCTAAATGCTGTTTCTTAATAAAACAATTGTATCGAAAGATGGTTCCTCTAAATTCCATCAAATTTCCCCGAAAGCAAACACCGAAAATTTTGGTTTTTGTACTGCGTGCATACATTGGTATGACGTCACTTGGCCGGATGTTGATTGACCTCGGGGTGCGCATGCCCGTTGGGTAATCCTTAGCAAACGAGGACAGACGACATCACGCAACAAGTTATGTGATAGGCGTTGTATGATGTTACAAGAAATGTTAAAATACAGAATAACACACATCTGGTTATCAAGATCGTAATCCAAATCATCTTGCTTTTGTAGCAGTCATATAAATGAGAATCTTTCTTTTATGACATCTCTTGACTTGTATCCCTAAAATAATAGTTGGCTGCTCGTATCCAAGGATATCTGAGAGGGCCTCATTTACAGTTTCTGGGAGAGAGTATATTATCTGACGTGATCAAAAGTCTGAACGTACGAGTCACAGCTATCGACGGCTGCCAAATAGATCCAATTTCACTAACGGAATAGGCTTGAGTCAACCTGTGGTATGGTTTTCAGGCATTTTTCCAGCACGTCGGAATCGGCTCCCTGGCCGATAACATCAGGAAGTGACCTTCCTGACAAATCAGCTATGAGGAAATTCGAACTCATCCTTCTTCAGAACATGGGCAATCATGGCTCTCCATTAATTCCTATCTTTTGCAGTTCTGAGTAAGGTTTGTCTTTTTGCAAATCGTCTTAGGCCCTGTTCTGCCAACCGCTATTTACGCGTGCTCGTTAAGTTGGTTATTTGCCGATTCTCGTCCGATCACCGAAGTTAAGCAACGTTGAACCTTATCAGTATCTGGATGGGTGACCGCTTGGGAATGCCAGGTTCTGTAAGCTTGGATGTGCGGGTAGAAATGGCTTACGGCCATATCACGTTGAAACACAGGTTCACGTACGAACACCGAATTTAAGTAACGTCGAGCCTGCTTATTACCTAGTTGGGTTACCGCAGGTTCTGTAAACTTGGGTGTGCGTATAGTGTAATGGAAATTAGTGAATCGTATTCTAATTCCAGTTGGGTTCGTTGTATACGCATGCGCATCTTGGGAAATGTATGTATCGACATCTTCTCCCCAGCTATGGGTTAATTAGTAGAATTTGTATGAGTGGATCATTATTATATCGCAAAATATATTACAGTATAAAAATATGTTTCAGCTTTGTATGTATAGCTGGCCACTCGTAATTGAGGATACCCATTTATTAGGGTGGCTAGCCAATCTCTATTGGAGACGCTTGCTAAGGCACTTGTGTTTATTCAACACACACACAGCCCACCTGTGATTTATACTAAGCAGAGCTTAACCCTAACCTTAATCCAACAACAAGGTCACCACGCTCAAACCCTCGGCCACGATGACTTATGACTTCGTGCTAGCACAGCTATCGACGGCTCCCAAGGGTTCCGTCTAACCAATTTCAAAGCTTGGGTCAACCCGTGGTATTGTTTTCAGGCACTTTCCAAAGGTGCCGCACGCTGGGATCGACCCCCCCAGTCCGATATCATCAGAAAGTCTCTGTCCTGATAAATCGACCATGGTGAGATTCGAACCCGAGTCTCATGGTTTGAAAGCGAACGTTCTAACAATTCAGCCACGTTTCGGTTTTAAAAAGCATGCAAACGGTTGATAAGCCGTAAAAATAAATCAGGCTAGGTTATTTGCTGTTTTTCTCTTCCCTCTTGTTTTCAGTATGCCCTGTGAGTGTCTAATTCGCCAAGCCCTCTTCTCTCATTATGCGTGAAAAGGTTAAATTGTATCTTCTCTGATTCTATGATGGTTGTTTTCATTTTCCTCTAAATTTCGTTAGTCACATGTTCCGTCCATAGTATTCTCAATATCCTTCTGTAGAGCCACCTATATGTAAGTCCTTCTATATAGCAGTGAACGCTGAACAATCTTCTCAAAGATGAGGAAGAGACTTGAAGCAACAGAAATGTGGTTTTACTGAAGAATGCTGAAGATTCCATGGACCGAACATTTGAACAAAGACGACGTTTTAGAGAAAATGGAAACAAAAAGGAAACTTAAAATTAACATCGGAAAGAGACAACTGAAATTTCTAGGGTACATAATGAGAAAAGAGGACGTGGAAAATTTGATACTCACAGGATGGATTGAAGGCAAGAGGTACAGAGGTAAACAAAGCATAGATTACTTACTGGTCTGGAGAAAATGGATGGCGGAACAAGGTTAAGGAGAAATAACAAAAAGACAACATTTATTAAGATCTAAGAAGGACAGGAAATTGTGGAGAGCCATGATCGTCTATGTCCAGAAGGGAGACGGCACATAGAAAAAGAACAATGAGCTTGAGTAAATGGATGGTGGAACAAGGTTAAGGAGGAATAACAAAAAGTCTACATTTATTAAGATCAAAGAAGGACAGGAAATTGTGGAGAGCCGTTATCGCCTACGCCTTCTTCTTCTTGTTTGTGCCGTGTCCCTTCCGGACGTAGGTGATCATGGCTCTCCACAATTTCCCGTCGTTTGTAGCTCTCAATATATTATGTCTTTTTGCTATTTCGCCTAAACCTTGTTCCGTCAACCATACAATTTCCTTCTATGTCCTTTGTAGGTTCATGGCTCTCCACAATTTCCTGTCGTTTGTAGCTCTTAATATATTTTGTCTTTTGGTTATCTCTCTGAGACCTTGTTCCGCCATCCATTTACTCAAGATTCTTCTTCCTCTCTTCAGTATGCCGTCTCCTTTCAGGATGTTGGTGATCATGGCTCTCCACAATTTCCTGTCCTTTGTAGCTCTTAATAAATTTTCACATTTTGTTATTTCTCATTAACCTTGTTCCGCCATCCATTTACTCAAGTTTCTTCTTCTTCTTCTTCTTCTTCTTCTTCTTCTTATTATTATTATTATTATTATTGCTCAAGTTACCAGTTTTTCTTTCTCATTTTCCTTTATTTTGCCGTGTCCGTTCACGACGTTAGCGATCGTGCCTCAACCAACGCTTATATCCACGGGGCCATGTGTCCTTGAGGATAAAAGCGTTAGTTGAATACATTGACTTTGCGCAAAGAGTTGTGAGTTCAATACCCGGCTACAGCAGAAGTGACCAAAAACTTGGAAAGTAGAGCTAAAGGGAGATAACTGATATTGAGACATCCGGAAGAGGCATGGCATGTGGACCTAGAACAATCTACTCCGGAGCACTAAATAAAGGGTTCAGTTCGAAATTCCAGTCACATGAAGAAGGCCAGAGCGTACAACGGCCGAAACGTCGTGAATATGAATACGGAGATTAGTACAACAGTTCGAACAATATAGATATATTTTCTTAAAAACAGTTTTTCAATATTTAGTCAGGTCTACTGTTAGTCCAACAATAAAACCATTTCATGTTTATAATATGGAGTACCTATATTTCTATTACTGTTATACTACTAATTCATAATCTTTATTTTTCTTGTTCTTTTGTCATATGTCCTAGCCATGACATTCTCAGCATTCGTCATGCGAAGCTCATGGCGGTTGCTTCAAGAATTTTCCTCTTTTGGGACAAAACTGCGCAGTTTTAGCAAAAGCCCTTCAAAAGTTTGAGCCCCTATCCCCCCCACCCCGTGGTAATTTTTTTTTAAATTAGTTGTTTCAAAAAGTAATTGTTTTGTAATTTAAATAAGAGAAAATTATTATACATGGTTATAAAAAAAAAGTGAGATATGATATTTAATAGAAATGTTATAACAAAAAGAAAAAAAGCATTTTATGTTTAAATTTTGCACTCGTCAAAATATCCTCATTTAGCTTTGATTACTGCAGCACCTTATTTCATAATCCTTTCAGTGGACTTATAGATAACTTGGCGACATCCATATCTTCTCCAAGTCCTTGACCGACAGACGAAACCACTAATAGGATGCGAATCGTTGTCGGCTTGTGCAGATAATCTGATGGCTGTTGTTGATAGATCGTTGCGAAGGAGATTCATTGTGGCCTCTGCATTCGGATCCGTTGCTAGGTCTGTTGCTAAGAAAGTTGGTTCACTGTGTCGTGATAGACAAATCTCCAGAATCTATCCTACATATTTATAAGTCTATCATTTAACCACGCCTTAAATATTGCTGCCATATATGGTCTGGTGCACCTGCTGCATATTGAGAGCTTCTTGATAAACCCCAAAGAAAAATCTGCAATATTTGTAGTCCTGACCTGGCGTCTCGGCTTCAGCCATTTTCCCACCGCCATAATGTAGCTTCCCTGTGCCTTTTCTATTAATAATTTCATAGTACATTATTTACATTATTCGGACTATTGTCCTCATCTTTGTCGCCATATTTATCACAACGTTTCGGCCGTTGTACGCTCCGGCCTTCTTCAGGTGTTTGGAATTTCGAACTGAACCCTTTATTTCACTCACTGGGGTAGACTGTTCTAGTTCCTCCATGTGCCATGTATAATGGATGTCAGTTATCTGTTATCTCCTGTTAATTCCCCTCTCTAAGTTCTCCACTGCCTTAACCGGGTATTGAACACACACTCTTTGGGTCCTGTCACTGTGCCACACATGGCACAGTGGATAGAGACGTTGGTTAGATCCAGTGACAGGACCCAAATATCTGGTTATGGCAGTTCAAGGGAAAATTAGCTGGAGATAAGCTGACATCCATCAAACATGGAACGGAACTAGAAGAGTCTACACCAGTGAGCGAAATAGCCAGTCAAATTTAAACACCTGAAGAAGGCCGAGCGTACAACGGCCGAAATGTTGTGATAAATATGGCGACAAAGATGAGGACAATAGTCCGAATAATGTAAATAATAATAATATAATACCTCATTTCAGAAATATAGACAATTTCATAGTAATATTCCTGATGAACTCATAGCTACGGTATCTAATATTTATGAATTTAAGCGCAGTACTAGTTTAGCGATTAGGTCTCGTCAATTGACATTTGAGTTCTTCTATGCCAACAGTTTCTTTTCTCGTACTTCTCGCTTGTGGAACTCATTTCCGGCTTCTTGCTTTCCAGTCAACTTTGATCTTCAAAAATTTAAATTTAATTTTTATGTCAATCATTATCGACTGTCTTCTTGATTACTCTTCTATTGTTCTCGCTCCTTAATAATGTTTCTCTTTTTATTTATTTCTTATTCTTTCACAGCCCCTTGTGTCTTAGTGGCATTACTAGCTTGCATGGGGTAATTTGATTAAAAAAATATGCTTTAAACTCGATACGATAACTGACACTAATGTGACCATATGATGATGAATCTAAAATTGCTTTCACAGCAATATTTATATAAATATTTAAATTGTGTGTATTTAGGCAACATCTTTTCATTCAGACACGTTTCATTAAATAATATAGACAAGTGTTGTCTATTTATTTTATGTAAATTTTCGTAACATCTGATAAGTTTAATATCATTATCGTTGAACGAAGAAAGAAATTCACAACATTGATCCATATTTTTTTATTTAATACAATCTAAGTTTTCGGCTTACATAAGCCATTATTATTATCTAGCGTTTTATATGAACGTGTTTATCGTTGCTTAGAAATCATCTATGTAAGCAATGACAGACTATCATCACTGTCTTGTCCTTAGATTATGTTGTAATTGACATCTTTCATAATGGCTTATGTAAGCCGAAAGCTTAGATTGTATTAAATAAAAAAAATATGGATCAATATTGTGAATTTCTTTCTTCGTTCAACGATAATGTTATTAAACTTATCAGATGTTACAAAAAATTTACATAAAATAAATAGACAACATTGTCTATATTATTTAATGAAACGTGTATGAATATATATATATAGATGGATATGAAAATACACAAGACACACATTCAAACCAAACGCGTGTCAAGGT